AATCATGTTGTAGCTGATTTCAGTCTGATTGATGGTTAGCAAATTGCATCTGAGCAAAAAATATTGTGTTTCATTTTCCCCTAAAATCATTTCCACTTGAAATTTGGAATTATCTGTAGTGTTAGAATCAAATCTTTGAGGCTGTGCCTTTGGGAGTCTTAGGGAAGAAGGAAATTGATGAAACTGATGCTTAGCCCCTCTGCCAGGATGCTGACCATGCTCCCCAATGACACTCCATTAGCTTCTCTGGTTTTCTTCTCCTGCAGTGATGAAATGTAATATGACGATGTGAAGCTCAGGTAGGGGATGCGAAAATTTTCAAATCAAGCCCCAAGTCCTTAAAGTTTTGACAGTGAATAATGGTCCTACACAACTGTCATTCTCTTTTGCCAGGCTCTAACCCAAAGAGCTTGATTTTTGGTCATGAGGCAGAGTAATCCACATGGTCTTTAAGTTACATTTCACATGATGACTGCATGCTCCTGAAGCTTATATCTGTATCCAGATTCAGAAGAAATTATAAAACAAAAATAAGCAATGCAAAGCAAGCACTGGCTTCTCACACAGTACCAGTGGGCTCCCCCAGCAGTGACCAATTTCTTGTTCAACCCTCAGGTCCTTAGAAAGCCTTTAACCAAGCTCAGGGAATTAGAAAGCAGGTTTGTTATTATTGTGAGACTCAGTCTGAGTGATGGGGGAAATTAGGTTTCTAATCAAAATTCTGTACTTGCGACCCAAGAGAATGGAACCAGAGTATAACAGTGGAACCTGTTTCTATAACTCTCCTCTCCTCAACCTAACATTTGTTGTAAGAAAGGTCAAGTTGAGTGCTCCAAGCTATTATGTTCTTCTTGGATGCCCCTCTCAATAAACTGGGAGTCAAATTTTCCATCATGAAGGCAGCTATTGCTCACCTGCCACCTTCTTCTCTTGCTCTGTCTCAGCCCTGCCCTGGTATCTCTTGGATGGGGATTTCACCCTCACATCTCTATCCAGCAGTTCAACTATTATTAGCTTCAAAGGGAACTGAGACTCTGTGTACTCAGCCCCGCGGTCTCATCAAAAGCAGCTTTGTAGTTCACTGAGCTGTGGGGTCTCTAGGCTGAGACCTGAAGCTGGGGGGCAGGGCACAGATGTTACAGCCCAGGCCCCAGGGCCAGCTCTAGGCTAGTTACCTGTGAGGCACTGTCATAATGTGCTCCTGGGACACCCGACAGATGTTTTTTGGAACTGGCACCAAACTCTTCGTGGAGCCCCGTGAGTTTATCTTTTTCCTATATTTCTAGGGATAATTTGAGTCCTGACACTAGGGCTGTAATCCAGTTTGCATTATAAATTATAACTAGTAAATGAAATTGTAATAAGGAGACAGAGTATTACAGACGTGAAGTAAGCCAGAGTGAACACACTAGACTGAGTCACTTAAGTAACGCTGTAACTCCTTTTATTTTAATATATGTATATAGTATATATTAAAACAATACCCCCCATTTACTTCTGAAATCTTCAGAGCAGCTCAAAAAAACACAAAGAAATCTAGAAGAACTACACTAAGAGTTGGAGTATTCAGGCGCAGGGGAGACAGTGGGAGGGATACTTGGGCCGCAATTCCTCAGGAAGCTGCTTCATCTCTGCACATCCCTTTGGCTAAACTAACTAGTATGCATGCCTCCTTGCAAACTGAAAACAAATGTCCTGCAGATTGGAAGATTCTGGAGAAAGGTAGTTAGCATGGTCAGAGTAATTAGGTAGAACAAACTTTTATTTCAGGATTTAAGTTAAATCCCATATTGGCAGAAAGTCTGGAAATTCTGAGCGACATTTATTCCAGACGTTGCCATTCTTAGGGGATCAGTAGGACTCTCTATGTGAATCTAAAACATAGGTGACTTCTAAGTTTATAAATTAAGAAAGACTGTTCAGGAATGGTATACACTTTTTTGGTATTGTTTACCAGCACATAACTTAGCAATATATTGGTGTTCATAAAAAGAGAAAGTCTGACAATAAAGCAATTTTCCAAAGAAATAGCACTTGAAGCACATGTTGCAATGTAATTATATTTGTGGACCAAGAAAAAAAGACTACAAGTTCTTCAAAGATAAACAATTAAATCTTTAATCTAAATTTTGGACTACAGTTTCATACAGCTTCATGTTTGGGTTTAAGTCAAATACAAAATAGACTAGGATGCATATGGCAACTATATTGAGTGCATTCCAGTTTTTGAAAAGGTTTAATTCAGTCAGACATCTGTTTCTTTGGTTACCAAGATGCCATAGAATGGATTCAATAAGACAGTTTTCTTTCAAACAATCGCTTTGAAAATATAAACATTAATGTAGGAAGAGAGATTCAGAAAAATGTTTTATCAAGTCAATGCATTATGCTCTATCTGAAATGCTGACTAATAGATTCAGAGCACAATATCTTAAGTGCATGACCTTCTTCAGACATGTCTTTTCAATTATATTGTATTATTCAAATTACTCAAACCCAATCTCCCCAACCAAAGTGACGATTTGACAACTGCCTGATGAAATTAGATTTTAAAATTCTAGGAAGCCTTAATTATCCAACTAAATCAGACTAAGATTAAGGGATACTCTTAAATAAAAAAGGAAATAGGGTGTTTATTTTATGGACAAGTTTCTTTTGTAACTTGTAACTCCCTTGAAAGTCAGCCAGAGTATGTCTCAAACCAAAGTCAAAACAGTGAGCAAGAAGTGTCGCACTTATGAAGGGAGGTGAGTGAGCAATGCGTGTGGTTTCCAACCGTTAATGCTACAGTTATCAGTTTCTGTTATCAGTGGCTTCAGCTATGCAAGGAAACCAAACAGGAAGTTTTCTCAAGCAGGTTGAAAGCAGGTTCCAAGAAAGCCCTTTAAAAAATTTCTAATCCTCTCAATTGTCTAGAACCAAAGCCAAAAACATAAGGAACCAGATTCTTAGAAATGAGTTTCCTGCCCTGAGTGACTGAAACAGAATCAGTCTTTTAGCTGAGCTTCTCAGCAGAGGAAATGGGGAGGATGATGAGGTAGTGATGAGGGGGTTTCTCTGAATAGTTGATTTTCTAGGAAAACCTTGATCAACTTTGGTCCATTTACAAAGCCATGATCAGCAGGAACTTCCTGACTAGCAATCGCTCCCTCTTAACCAGATATAACCAGTTGATATGGCAGTAGCTCTACTGCCATGAACCTCATAGCTGAAACTTAAATTCAGATTCAGGATAAAGCATTAGAAAAATTATTTATTTTCATACAAAAAATTAGCCTGTGGTGGTGTGCACCTGTGGTCCCAGCTACTCGGGAAACTGAGGCTGGAGGGGAGTATGAGCCAGGAGGTGGAGGTTGCAATGAGATGATATTGGGCCACTTCACTCCAGCCTGGGTGACAGAGAAAGACCCTGTCTCAAAAACAAAGGAAAAGAAAAATTACTTATTTTCCATTTACACATTCATTACCAACTTTTTGTTCAGCAATACCTAATGTCTTGATTATAGACCATAGTAGATAAAAATACACTAGAATTCAACATATTTTTCATTTGATATCAAGAAGCCAAATTCACCTAAGTTTCAAATACTAAGGGCCAAATTTACAGGAGCAATTAATGTTGAAAGTCAGCATTAAATTTAGAGTTGAAAATATATCTAGCTCATCATTCACAGGTTAGTTGTCTCTCTTGGTTTCAGGTATTAGCAGGGTTCTTTCTTTAACAGTTATTTGAAGATAGCCTAAGAATCTAAGTCTCTATGGACCTAACATTTATCACAATTCAAAAACTTCAGTGAGGCACTGTGAAAGAATCATCACTACCTCTCTCAAAGTTTCAAGACTTGTGGTCTTAAGGAAAGAAAGGGATGCATTCACAGGGTGGTAGTCCAAAGTGAGGCACAAAAGAAGAGAAGGCCAGGAGGGAACCCAATCCTGGGACCAACATTTCACGGTTCCTCTTAGATTAAAGCAAGAATGAACGGGCTTAAATTGGTTTTATTTCTTTAAGGACTTCCTGAAAATGGTCATTGCTATCCTCTGATTAAAGACTCAAAAGGAAACTGTACAGTAGTCAGTCCCCTATAGAAGAACGAGTTATTCACCTAGAGGCAGAAACATGTACCACCTGCCTTCAGCAGATCCCTTTCCAGCAGATCCGGAAGGGATGGCACCCTTCCATGACCCCAACATTGCCATCCTCAGAGCCTCTGAGCTAGTTATGCAGTCCTTCTCAGACTCTTAATTCTTTAAGTGACAGAATGCAGAGCATGAGCACCTGCCCTGATCTACCATCCAAGTGCCCATGCATTTACAAAAAACCAACCGGTACAGACAGATATTCAGCCTGACCTAGATTGTCCAGAGGATTGATTAATAAAACACAGATAATCGGCCAGATGCGGTAGTTCTGCCTGTAATCCCAGCACTTTGGGAGGCCGAGGCGGGCAGATCACCCGAGGTCCGGAGTTCAAGATCAACCTGACCAATATGGAGAAACCCTGTCTCTACTAAAAATACAAAAAATTAGCTGAGCATAGTGGTGCATGCCTGTAATCCCAGCTACTAGGGAGGCTGAGGCAGGAGAATCCCTTGAACCCGGGAGGTGGAGGTTGCAGTGAGCCGAGATTGCGCCATTGCACTCCAGCCTGGGCAACAAGAGTAAAACTCCATCTCAAAAAAAAAAAAGAAAAAGAAAAAGAAAAAATCCACAGATAATCGAAACCCAGATGATCCAGAAACTTCTTTGTAGTAATTATTTTCCATCTGTGCTTCCAGCCCTATCTCCTAGCAGCTCCTAACTAGAAGTCAAACTCACTGCCTTTCATTTCTGCTCCCCTTGCCTGTCCTTTAACAGAGGTGCTAAGGCCCAGGTCACTAACAGGATGCATGGAGGTCTGAATTGTAGTGTTTGGCTGCAGGGTAATCAAGGTAATCACCACTGTTTAGCCCCCACAAGTTGTGAGTAATCATCTCACCTAATAAGTTGATTATATTTGCAGAAAGACAACCTCATACCAAGCCATCCGTTTTCGTCATGAAAAATGGAACAAATGTCGCTTGTCTGGTGAAGGACTTCTACCCCAAGGATATAAGAATAAATCTCGAGTCATCCAAGAAGATAACAGAGTTTGATCCTGCTATTGTCGTCTCTCCCAGCGGGAAGTACAATGCTATCAAGCTTGGTCAATATGGAGATTCAAATTCAGTGACATGTTCAGTTCAACACAACAAGGAACTTGTTTACTCCACTGACTTTGAAGTGAAGACAAATTCTACAGGTAGGCCATTTCTGGCTTCAAGGGGCTAGAGATTATGGGGAACAAGAATTGGGTGAAAGGAAAGTTAGAGATGTAACTGTGGACAAATCATTCTCAATATAGCATCATGCTGGAAATAAGACTTAGGCCCAACTGTAGCCTGCCATTGGCAGGGGAGGGAAATGCTTGGCATCCCTAAGATGGAATCTAAAATAAAGCCCATCTTATTTCATCCTCATCTCTCCTCTTTACCAACCACTGTCCCCTTCATACTAGACCCTGGGATTGAAAGCCCACGTGCAGCCTAATTCAGTGCTAAATTCCAACAAAGGGCAATGTGGCCTCTCATGGGGCTAAGATCCTAGTTCTTCCCACATAGTGGTGTGCCTGGATGTTGACCTCATGGTACAATGAAAAAGGCTGGAATGGGAAGCATGTTGTATAATTAGCTATGTGACCTTAACCAAGTCACATTCCATGGTCCTCAGTTCACTCACCCAAAGTCTCCTCCAGTTTTAAAACCCTACAATCCTGTGAGCCTCTTCATTCCCAATGTAACGCTGACCACTGCTGTCTGTTCCAGATCACCCAAAACCAACGGAAACTGAAAACACAAAGCAACCTTCAAAGAGCTGCCATGAACCCAAAGGTTAGTTCAAATCAAAGGGCCAATTTCAGAATCAAGGGTTAAAGCAAACTCTGTAGTTGTCCACTGGGGCCAAAAAGTATCAGATTTCAAAAGAAAACACAAATGATGCTGAGCCCAGTCGGCTCTGTGGAGCCTCTGACTCTCCCAGCAGAGCTTGCCTGGCTGGGTGTCAGCAGCAGCCTAAGGTCTCTGAGGGCTGGCTATCTGGCACCACGCTGGGCTTGCAGGCCAGAAAGAATTAGGCAGACTTGGGGTAGGCTGATATCAGTGTTACAGGCCCAATTTCTGGAAGGGAATTTAATCTCTCCCTGAAGCCACCCTCTTCACTCTTGTTCAACCATAGTTCATGCCGAGAAGGTGAACATGATGTCTCTCACAGTGCTGGGACTACGAATGCTGTTTGCAAAGAGTGTTGCCATCAATTTTCTCTTGACTGCCAAGTTACTTTTCTTGTAAGGTAAGAATTAGCCGCTTCTTATTCCTATCTCTACCCACACTGTCCTGCACATGGGGAAAGGGGATTTAGAAATGGTAAGAAACCAAGAAGCATTGGAAAAGGAAAATAGAGACATATTTAGAATTAATAAGGTAGGCTATCTCAGCTACTCAGCAAAACAGCACCCCATCTCCTGTTATCCTTTCATTTTAAGTCAGACTGAAACCCATTAGGTAGTATAATGTACTATTTTTCTAATATGCCAGACAATAACCCTCACCTTCACCCCAGGGAGAAAACAGAAGATAAATAAAGAGAATTCATCTTCTTTAACTGCTATTTTGTTCATTGACCAAGAGGCCATGGGTTATTTGCAAGGCCACAAGTAAAGCTTTGCCTGAAGAATATCCAGAGGAAGCAGAGCCTATCTTTGTCCTGATAAAGGGAATGCCAGCTCACACTCCTTAATCATAGGACCAGCCTATCTATGGGTGGATCAGCCTGTCTTTGGGATGAACCTACACACAGCATTAGTAGTGAACAGCTCACTATTACCTACTCAGGATGTATACACAGTTAGGTCTGAGATGTCAATTATTTGCCTGTTACTTGCATTCCATTCTCAGATAGTCTCGTACACAAAATTGAAACCAGGGCCTGGGTTTGTGTGTGAGGTCCCCCCCGTCACTCCTTCTGCAATACTCACAAATGCTCATCAACCCCAGCTCCTGTTCTAAGAACAACCCTAGACTTAGAGTACTTGACTGACCTGACCCAGACAGTAAACATACCCAGTCATCTCCAAATGGGTGTCCAGCTCACCTGTTATTTTACTAACAGTCTCAGGGACACAGGCAGTGTGGCTGGATAAAAAGAGGGCTACGCTAAGAGTCAGAAGATCTGAGTTTTATCTTGATTTTGACATTAACTTACATGTTACCTTAGCCAAGTTGCTTCATCTCTCTGGGCCTGGGTTTTTGCATCTGTAAAACAAATGAGTTAAAAAATAATAATAATCAAAGGAGAACAAAAGAGTTTCATGACTTATGCCAACACTGATAGCTGAACTAGCTAAGTTATTGCCATGTGTAGATGGAAAATGAGCCACAATAGATTAGTGATGTCTGCAATGGCATAGCATAGCAAGTACTGGCCACCCCCAGACTACATGAACCCTGCGATTCCTTCTAGCACTGGCCGTCTATTCTATAACAACTTTCTTCACTTGCAGGCTGACTGGCATGAGAAAGCTACACTCCTGAAGAAACCAAAGGCTTACAAAAATGCATCTCCTTGGCTTCTGACTTCTTGATGATTCAAGTGGACCTGTCATAGCCTTGTTAAAATGGCTGCTAGCCCAACCAATTTTTCTTCGAAGACAACAAACCCAGCTCATCCTCCGGCTTGGTGGGAAGACAAAAGTCCTGGGGAAGGGGGATTTATGTCCTAACTGCTTTATATGCTGTTTTGATACAGGGATAGAAGGATACAAAAAGATATAGGACACTTTTGTTACTCCTACAACTGATACACTTTGAAAACGACGTTTTGTTCTTTTTGACTTTCTTTACCTTTTGAAGTAGAAAGTGAGAACCAAAAGGTTCACAGCTTCATTCCTCATGAGGAAAATAGGCCCTGGGAGAAGAGCGGGTGCCCTTTTATCTAAACATGGAAGACTCTGTTCAACTGAGCACTGGATTTGCTACAAACCAGCATCATCTTCTTCCTCCTGTCCTCACAGCTCGTCCCATTCTCTATGTTCACTTCAGAGCCACACTAGAGATTCTGCATGGCATGGAAGCGGGCAAAGTTTTAGCACTTTCTGCATCTCCTAGTACTTTACAAATGAAATTACATTTGAATTCGCTAATACTTTATGAGCAGGCAATGGGGTTTCCAAAATCTCATCTAAATACTCTCTAGACTATTAGCAAAAATCAGAGTAAAATACAGAGGAAAGGCACTGCTTTCTGTTAATTGATTTAACATGCATAAATTAGCTTGCTCTGAGTTCCAGGCACTGTACTGAGAGTACAAAGAAGACATAAGTCTGCTTTCAAGCAACTCCCTGTGAAAGTGTTTTTGAAGGGAGGAACAGAAATGAGACCCCTATCTTTCTCTACAAAAACAACATTTTTACTGTCTTTTGCCTGCCAATCTGTGTTTGAAACCATTGCACACTGATTCTCTGGCCTGGTACTTTGGTATTGATGGTTTTCTGCCTTTCTTCTCAGCTCCTGCCTCTGTTGCATTTATTAAACTGCATTGTGTGCACCTTGCCTCTGGCTTTACTCTTTGCAGATCACCACAGGGGGAAAGGCAGCTCTGTGAGCTCACTATTAGTCAGCCAAAAGCCAAACCGAACTTACGCATCACACCACAGTTTCCTGAGCCCCAAGCCTACAGAGGCCCTGCCTTGGAGACCCAGCCTCGGGTTTCCTGCTGTGTCTGCTGATGCCGCTGTTACAGCAAGAACAACAGCAGCACCTGCAGTGTGGCCAATGACCTCTGCTACTCCCACGTCAGGAAGGCCACAGCTTTGTCCAGGAGCAGGGCTCAGGGCCCTGGCAACCCATTATTGTGGTTCCTCAGCACCTATGTGAAGTGTCAAGTGGGGGTTTATGAGGTAACAAGTGAAAGAGTGACTGTCGCCAACAACTTCCCTTGTCATGACCGACTGCAGACTCCCCCATCATGTGTACTACACCTTGCATGTGTAAAGAATGCTGATTTCCAAAACATTCACAAGTTACCTTGTGTAGTATTAGGGTGTTTCTTCTGAAGTTATTAGGAAAAAAAAGATCATATTCTCATTTTTCAGATTAAAAAAATGCCCTTTCCTCAAAAAAGTATGTACCTTGTCCAGAGTCATTCAGTGAGGCAGGGATATTGCTGGGAGTAGAACCAAGGTCTCAAGATTTTCAGTACGAAGCTCCTGCTATAAGAGCATATTGCATCCCCAAATGAGGACAGGATGTCAATGTGAGTATCAGCTAGAATGAACTTCAGGATTGTCCCATATTTAGCATATAAATGAGCCACCCTCTAGCCCACTACGCCAGAAAAAAAAAAAAACCTGGCATATCACAGGACCATGAATTTCTCAAACCAAAAGGAGCCTCCAGAGAAGATTCAAGGCAAGAGCCAGGAGGAATTATGGCTGCTTTCTGATCTGGGGCCATGATATATGAACTGTGAGATGGACATGTGACACACTCAGTAGGCATTAGAACAGAAGCCCCAGAAAGCCAAGCCACATGCCCAAGGCCTTTGGCTCCCTCATCCCCTGTTCTTTCCATTGCTCCATATAGTGGCTACTCTTGTCCAGTGTTTCTGAAGAGGACATAAACTGCTGCCCAAACCACTCACTGATAGAGCCACGTAGGGTGCAGCTGCCAGAGAGAGCCCTGGAAGTGTAACGCTGCATTTCTGCGCCCGTCATTAGCCAGCTATACGACTTTGAGAATGTCCACCACGTCTCTGGACTGCAGTGTAGTTTCTATAAAATAATGTGTAAGGCCTCTTCCATTTCTAAGATTACATCTAATAACTCTAATAGTTCTATTAAGGCAGATAATTCAAGAGAAGAGGAAGGAAGGACTGATTCCCAGGGACTGAGGGTATGTATCTATTTCAACATCACATAGTCAGTTTGCCCCAGAGGAAATTTTCTCTGCTGGAGACACCACTGAGCTCCAAACTCAGGGACTTGGCAGCTGGAATTCTGGAAGTCACAACTTTCCGGGAGAGCCTCAGTGCTCTTCAGTGAAAAAAAAAAAGAAAATGTTCTCCAAATAAAATAAGTAAAATAGAGGTGTCAAAGAACATCAAAAAGAAGGCGGTTAGATATAAAAAGATGCAAAAAAAAAAAAAAAGTAAATTGGTGAAAAGTCTTTTGAGTAAATAACTTTGTGTCTAACTTTTTTTTTTTTTTGAGACAGAATCTCAGAATCTGTCACCCAGGTTGGAATGCAGTGGAACCACCTCGGCTCACTGCAACCTCTGCCTCCCAGGTTCAAGCGATTATTGTGCCTCAGCCTCCCGAGTAGCTGGGACTACAGGTGCAAGCCACCACACCTGGCTAATTCTTGTATTTCTAGTAGAGACGGGGCTTCGCCATGTTGGCCAAGCTGGTCTTGAACTCCTGGCCTCAATTGATCTGCCTGCCTCAGCCTCCCAAAGTGTTGGGATTATAGGCATGAGCCACCACATCTGGCCCTAATTTAATTCTGAAATGAAAACAGACCAATTCATAATAATGGATAAATGATGGTGGTGACTAAAATAAAGACACCACTGGCGGCCTCACCTTGATGGGCCCTTCACCTGCACCTGAACCTGCATTCTGAAACCCTCACAGGAAACGCAGCACAGGCTTGTCAAGCCCCATTCTGTATCAGGGCTGACCAGGGCACCGGGGACACAAAGACAATGCTCCCTAAACTTGCCTACCAGGAGTCATTCAGGTGGCAAGGGCCCACTGAGTCAGAAGTGGGGAGATGCTCTGCTTCTCTGAAGCCAGGGTGCTCCCCTGGATCTGACCAGGCCATTTATTTCTCAGAAGACACTTTAGGTCACTTCTAAAGGCCAGGCTGGAACACAAAATGGCTAAGAGAAGGCTGCCAAGTCCCAGACATGACCTACCCTGAGAGGTAGCTCTGCTGAGTCATGCCCCAGGAGTTTGTGTTAAGACTTCCTGGGCACCTGCCTCATCGTGCTCATGGCACAGTAGTAAGTGGCACTGTCTTCAGTCCTCACTGGAGAAATCACTAGGTGAAAGGCTTTCTGGGTCAGAAGGTGCTTCACAGAAAACCGTCCTTGAGTAAAATACGCACCTTGAGATCTGCTTTTATCCCCATAAAAGACAAACTGGAAAGAATAATCTGGCCTTATGCGGTACCAGAATAAATCTGGATCTGAATATGTACTGTCGTAAGTGCAGAGCAGTACCACCTCACTGCCACTCGCCACCATCTGGTCCGGGGAACTCTGAGTTACTTTGTCACACAGCATGCCCCTGTCTGTGAAAAAGACAAATGAGGAAATAGTGAATTCTGCACCCCCCAGACACTGAGTACAGGCCATGCCTAGCCCAGAAGAACTCAATGAGCAGAGGCAAGAGAAGGACACAGGAATAAAGCGAAAGGCAGAAAATAACCAAAAACCAAGAGTGCAAGAGAAAAAGCCTTCAAGAGTCAGAGAAGGAGAAATGAGTTATGGAACAAGTGGAATGTAAACAAATGAATCTACTTACAGAAAAACAAAAAGCTAAAGCCCACAGTAAGAATCATCTTTTCTTCATACCAGGGCAGAGGATATACAACAAAACAGGGTTCCTGAGATCTCAGGGACTATCTGACGGTGCTAATGAGAGAAGATGGGAGGAAGAGGAGGCTGGCCGCCTTGACGGTCATGTGACTGATTCAGCCGTGACTACTAGAGACAAATGGGCTCAGCCGAGGAAACTGCTATTGCTGTTATGATTTTGGCCGCAGTCCATCTTGAACTAATACATACGGCAATGAAAATTGATTACTTTAAAAAAAAAGAAAAGGAAAGGAAAGGAAGGAAGGGAGAGAGGAAGTGAGGGAGGAAAGAAAACTGCAAGTCTAATGATGGCGTTCTTGGATATCCAACTGCTGCAAAAGTAGTTCACTCTCCATTTCTGTATCCTCTCGTCACAGACTGGCGTACTAGTCCATAATCCCATGTCGTACTTTGAGTGACACTGTCTTATATCATCTAGCACAGCTCCACACACTTTGTTCTATTCAATAAATGGAACAAATGAAAGAGTACCTTGGACAACTCCCTTACTTCTCTGTGTGAAGAAGGAAGAAAGGGGATTGGACAAGACCCTTTCTAAAATCTGTCCTAGACCTGATTTCCAGAAATCTTTGATTTCAGATGCTTGAGGGAGTGTCCTGATCCTAAGTGCTTCTTGCCCTTCACCAGCTTGACTTTCTGTCTCTCACTGGGCCCACTGCAGCACACACTTGGCCCCAGCTGGAAAATCCTGAACAGAGCTTCCTGGCGGGTGAACTGCCGTGAGTGGGTTACAAGCTTGCTGAGATAGGGCTCAGAGTGCCCGTGTACCTGGGGTGAGTGGAGCCCCTGAGCCAGCCCCTCACAGCCAGAAGCCTACAAATACGATTTTCCACATAAGCCATGAATATGACAACAGTTCGGAAGCTCTGCTGTAAAAAACAGAACACGGACTAACTCACTCCCCAAAATGCAGGAGTGTTTCCAAGAGTATTTCTAGAAGGTCCTTCATTTCCCTTTTTCCCTACATCCAATTCTTCAGCAATAACTGTCACTTCTACCATGAAAATATATCTCCAGTCTACCTACTTCTTGCATCTCCACCGCCACCACCTTCTATAAACACCATCATCTCTTACAGGGACTGCTTCGACAACGCACTCACTGGTCCCCTTGCTTCTGCTCTTGTCCGTGGACAATCCATTCTCCAGTTCTTCATAAAATGTACATCAGATGATGACAGCTGGACCTCCTTCCCAGGCCTGTAACATCTGCAAATGATCTGGCCCTTGCTTCCTCCCCAGCCTCACCCCACATCTGCTCCTTCTCTTTCTTCCCTTCAGTTGCAGTAGCCTTCCTTCTCATCCCTTCTATGTCTTCTTTTCTAGCTGCCTGAAACTCCATCCCCAATTTTTAACAGTTCTCAGCTCCAACTAAATTAGTCACCCATCCCACCTGTCACCAACCTCAATTACATCTCTGGTCTTATTTTCCCTCACATCAGTATCTGAAATCATCAGATTCAGGCATGTTTATGTCTCTTCCATCTCACCTCTCCCCTACACACACACACACACACACACACACACACACACATGATAATATAAACTATATGAGGGCAGGGAGCTTATCTTTTCACTGATATGTCTCCAGCCTCTAGGCTTGTGTTGACCACATCACAGACAATCAGTAAATATCTGTGTAAAAAAAAAGAATACAATTTCTTCACTTAAAAACTCACCATTCACCTAGATTTAGCAAATAAAAATACAAGACACCCAGTTAAATGTGCATTTCAAATAAACAACAACAAAAATTTCAGTAATATGGATAGTTGGGACATGCCATATTTGGAACACATTTATACTAAAAAAGTATTCATTGTCTATCTGAAATTCAAATTCCACTGGGCATCCTGTGTTTTATCTGGTGATGCTAGGCATGCAGAATACCAAAAGTAAGCACCAGGCAGGCCAGAGTCCCACCATGAGCATCTTCAGAGCCCTTGG